GTATTGAAATCATTCTATCATTTTTGAGATTGTATCCCTTTACAGCTTTTCCCACTCTTTTGTTGACTATGAGAGCTACTCCATTTCTTCTACAGGGTTCTGTTGTAACCATTGTTAAATAATTTCTTCCTTAACCTTTTGGAGTGGGATATTATAATTAGTGTGTAATTTGTATAAAAGAGAAATGGGTCCTCTAGGGGAAAATGAAGCCTCTACTTTCTGAAAAGGGATGACTTTACTCCATTAAAAATGCCCTTTTATGCAAATGTAGTAGGGGGATTGCAGGTTACTGGGCTATTATAAAAAGGCAGTTCTACTTGAAAAAGGTTGGGAACCACTGACCTATAGATTAATTTTTGTAAGTATGAAACACATATATGTTTTAGCACTTCTGGGCCTAAGCACTGTGACTCATAATAATCCATAAGACAAAGTCCATTTGTAGATAAGTAAATGCTTTTTAATAATCCCTCTGCATTTAATGTAAAGCACTTTTGTCAATAATACTGACTTTTGTCAATAATTTTGACATTTGAACTCTGATAGAGAAGACTGTAATGTGCTTTGTAATAAAATAACAACTCATAAATCAGACACAAAGCAATTAGATGTAAACAGAACAATTAGTAAAGCTCCACTGAGAAAGCCAATGGAGCCATATCTTGTTTTGTTTTAGATTTAGTTAAGCCTCAGTTCTTGGAAACCTTTAAGGTAAATAACGTTTAATATCTTAGAAGTCTGCAAAGGGGCTGCTGGGGAGTATAACCTCAATATCTTATGGCTCTCTATTCAGTTTGGGGCAAGTTTATTTCCTCCAGCAGCACTCCATAACTATCATCCATTGTTCAGAAAATTCTCCCATCAGTCTTTTAAGGGAGAGGAAGAAAAGAATGGGAAATGTTTGCCTTCTGTGATCTTCCTTAAATTAACTTGGTTTAAAATCCAAGGAAATGTCAATGGAATTATCACAAACTGAACTGTTGCACTCTAGAGATGACATACATTGACGAACTAACTTACCAGAATGGCTGTTCCTTTTAAGATAGGTATTGGATGTGGATTTTGATTTAGAAGTCAGATAGGTTGAATTAGAACCAATTGAACTAGAAGACAAGGATTTCCCCAGATTGTCAGAGCTCTTCTTGATGATATTAGTTGCTGTTTTACTCCAGTCTGAAAATAAATGAAAACAGAATTTCCTGTAACTGCATGTCAAATTAAAATAATTCTCTCTTGATGGTTTTAGAAGTGAAGATAGAGGAAGCCAAAACCACTCACACAGTTTTCCTGTGTACTTTTTACTGTTTAACATGCAAAACAAGAAGTCATGCATTTCCCCTGTGGTGAGATGTGGGATTTGCAGATGAATGGAAATATGCCCATGTTCTGGTCTTGCAGAAATGTTGTAGAGGAAGCCCAAGTAACTTGCACTTTCTCTGTCATCTATATATAACCTCTGAACTTCTCCTGAGCTGCCATTAATGACAACGTACAGTGATTGGACTGATGGTAATTTTTCTACTAATTGGTAAATTATTAGGTTTGTGAAAATACAAAGACAAAACAGAATTTTATACTTCAAAGTGGAATGAATTTATTATTAATATATGCATTTAGACTTCAACCAGTTCTTTTAAAGGGGGGAGGGGACTATTTCAAAATGATTCTTGCCTCTGACTCATAAGATGCCAGCACGCAACCATGCAAAAATAACTCAGAGGAAAAACTACATCTCTCCTCAGAAATAAATTATGAATAGTTCTCATTCTGGGCACAGTTTAGACCTGTGATGGCAAAACTTTTTGGGCCCAAGTCTCCAAACTAAAAACAACAACAGCAGCAACAAAACCCACAAAAAACCCTCAGTGGCGGCAGCAGCAGAAGTGGCAGTGGTGAAAGCAGAAGTGGCAGCGGAAGGGGGAAACCTGGGCATGGTGGTGCCTTGAGACCCCACTCTGGATCCGCTGCTAGTGCCAGCTGCTCTGAATCCTGACCCACCACTTGTCAGGGCGCCAGTACCGCAGCTGCAGCTGCCTCCTCAGGTTTGGCTGGGGAGGGGGGAGTAGCGATCCAACAACTTAGGGCTCTGTGTGCCATAGGTTCACCATCGCTGGTTTAGACAATTAAAAATTTTTCACTTTTGGGAACACAGCCATTGATTTCCCTGAATAGGATGGGGACATGAACAACAGACTTAAGAAATCTTTGCAGCTTTGAAGCCTTGAACACAGAACAATAAAGGTACATATCATGCAGAATCACCTCATAATAATATTGCATGGTCCCTTTAATTATGCTTATTCTAAGATGGGGCGGGGTAATATGTGGCTCTCCCAATATTTACTGATAATTTTCAATTAATTTCAGCAAACATAGCTGATGGTGATTGATCATATGTTTTGCAACTAATGGGAAGGGCCCTGATTGTCCACTTCTACTGTGTATATATATAATTATATACAATACAGTTCATGTATTGTATCTAGTATCATGTAACTAGTAAGATAACTTAATTAAAATAACAAACTGAACACATGATTACTGTAGTAGGAAGACCTTCTCTTTCTGAACACAAGACCTAGAATAATGAGCCAAATGAAATTTAATGATTATTAAAAGAACAGGAGGAAAGTTCATTTCCCACTGCCCCTAAGGTCACAAGCACTGCAGATAAATTAAGGAATAAATACATTCTGGGTATTTAGGCAGTTATTTCCACACATGCTTTAAAGATCCCAGGGTATTGTCAAGGGCCATATGATGTGATCACTTTGTTGAAACTATAAAAGTTTGGGTTTGTTTAGCACCTGGCTGGAACACCATCTAGGAATCCTACTTTAGCTGGTTTGAACTCTGTGACATATACATTACCTGAGTTGTCTGCCAGCCTGAATCTACCACAACAGAGGTGTCGTCTCCATTGTTTCTGGACATTTTCTTTCATGGCACAGTGGAATATAAATATAAATAAACCTGAAAAATGGCAAAAAGTTAGAAAAATTATCTGCTTCACTTTACAGAATATGCTTTTTCTGATTATTGCTACTGCAAAACAATAAAAAACTGTTTCTTGGAGTGTTACTATACTTCAAAGGCATATGACCTTATACAGAATCTAGATCTTAAAAATTGCAATTAGATTCCAGAAAGAAATAAAATGGTGCCCATGTAATGTTTCATATTTGGATAAACTTCTCAGGATTGTGTTATGTGTTCCATATAAGCACACAGGTTTTGCTACTGCGACATTTTAAAAAATAATGCAAAAGCAGAAAGATTAAATGGCAGTACATTTGGATATAGGGGCAGGTATCAAATGAATATGAGCATTAGCTAGCCAGAAGTCTCTGAGAGCCAAGAAAGTCAATTTGACTGCAACTATCATGAATGAATGTCTTGGTTAAAAAAAGAGAGAGCTATTTTTGCTACAAAGAACATAATTAGCTCCATGATCTTGAACATTGCAGAGCTACCTATTAAAGAATTCTCAGAAACTGTTTGCAAGTAGATAAGAATACAAAACTGGCAAAAGTTGTTTTTGATAAAATATATTTCTTAGAGTGTTGGCAATCATGAGATAAAAACTGGCTTGATTATCTAGAAATACAAATACGTAAATAAAAATAATAATTGTTAGAAGCCTTTGAACAGCCTTTGATCGCTGTCGTGCCACCACCTCCTCTCTATGTTTAGATAATGAAATGTTTGTCAAGAAGCATTACTCTGATTAATATGTTTAATCAGAGTATGAATGAAAAATATACCTGATGGAAAAAGATAAAAAGATAAAAGATGATAATACAAAAATTAAAAGGGGAAGATTAATTCGTTCTGTACTTATCAAAGAGATATCAGAAGTGGCAAAAAGCTGGGAACAGATGAAATACATGCCAAACACCAATTAAATTTGACAAATGACAACAGGTGACATATTCAATGACAAATGCTAAAAGCCAATTTGAGAAAGACATAGATAAACCTTTAAAGCTAGTAAATAAGAACTTATAAGATCCTTGAATTCTTGTAAATAAATGGAAAACAGACTAGACAAGCTCATAAATAAAAATAAATTGGTAATTTCTGCTTACAGCAAGTAGGAAAAAAGTTCATAGTTATTGTTAAAATAGGTCACTGCAAGTAGAGAAAACCTCAGCCTAGTAGCGAAACATCATTGGGTGAAGAAGATATAATCTAAGTTTTTTTTAATAACTGAAGGTAAGTATAAATGTAAGACAAATTTAGATGAGATCCAGGAAATTATATCATGAGCAACATCATTCATGAGAACCAGAGCTTCACTCTCTCACTGACTATTCAATATCTATAATTTGGCAAAAAAAGGTATCCTATATTATAACAATACTATTGTATGGTCTGTCTTTGAAATCTTTTCTATACTCTATACATTTTAAATTATGCTTCTGCCTTTAAAATGATAAATATACTGTAGGTTAAAATATTTATTCTTGGGAATCTTTGGAATAATACCAATCCTTTATACTCTCGGAATAATTTTTATTCTGCACTTAAAATATAAGCTGTCTCAATAAAAACCAAGAGATAGTAGCATCAGCTTGTCTGTTACTCAGTTCATTCTCTACCCAGAAAAGGAGTGGATTTCATGAAACATTTATGTAAGATATTCAGGAGACATTCTTGAGATACAAATGAATTTATTTGGATTCTACACAAATTATTAATTCAAGAAGAATGTTTGCTGTGAACTTATCCAAGATATTTTCAGATTCTCTGGAGTCTATATAATTAGGAGCCAAAGAGGTAATATGTTAGACCTATTAACTTACCACAATGACACAGAGTCCTTAATTACTAGTGATGTGTAAACTGCCCCTCCATTTTGAATTGGCTCAGAAAAAGCTGATTTATTTTAAAATGGGGGAAAGACCAGCTAATTTCCACGGTAATTAGATTTGATTCCCAAGCTATCTCCAATCCAGCTATAGTTCAACTCACCTCTCTCTTTTTACATACTCATCAGTGAGATTCAAAAGCCCCTCCTCTTTTATCCCAATCATTTATCTGTATGCTGATTTTGGTGTAGTAATGGCAACATCAAATGAGAGCAAGCAGGAAATTACTAGAAGCTACTAAGAAAACTGTGCTTCCTAAGGCTCTTTGCACCAGGGAAACTGAAGTAACAGCACTCCAAGTGCCTATCTTCTTCCTTCCACTTGTTGCTACTACCACTGAAAGAAGGGGCAGCAGCAGGTAATCCAGGTAACCGGGTATCAGAGGAGGACTGTTAAGGCTGTTTTCCATGTTAAAGTTCAGCGGTGAAGGGACTGGTGTCAGGACCTGACAGGATAGGTGAAATTAAGGAGGGAGTTGAATTTTCTTTAGTTTGAGTTATACTTAGAGAAAGAACTAATCTGTGCTTTAATATTCATTTTGTGCTTAATTTTGGACTTGTATTTCCAAACCATCAATATATAGGGACCAGGGATAACATGGACAAGCAACTTCATACATTTCAACCTAACCTGAGCATTTCTAGAAGCATTTTGTCAGGGATAACTCCCGAGGCAGTTCTTATATTCCTGATTTCTTTATTAGCTGACAAGCATACATTCAACAACAGTAAATATCCAACATTCTTAGGAGCTAATTTTATTCATCTGAGAGAAAATCGTGCTTTCCTCTGAATTTCAATGTGTGCATATTATTTCTCATTTAACTATTATTGTGAAACACAGCAAGACATTTCTATGCACTGGTAATTTTTTTAAAAAAATCCAGCATATGCACAATAGCAAAGACATTTTGCTGGCCTCTGTATCATGTGCAAATAGTCCACTCCCGGGTTTTTGAATACACCATCTACCCTCCATTCAGAGGAAGAGCTCAACCTGGCAATTGCAGACACCTTAAGGCAATGTTGATTTAATTTGACTCTCTGGGTGTGCACTTGATTTTGGTTTCCATCAGAAGTGATAAAATCAGCATATTCCTTCATAAAGTTTCAGTCCAAATAAAACAACACATTTCCTGAGGAAAGCCACCAGTCAACTGTTGTTGATGCCAAGGGGCTGGAAACCACAGAGTTTTCTGTTTGGAGAAAAGCAAGATACTGAGCCTCCCAAGATTAGACAGCAGTTGCTTGGCTGCAAACTGAACAGCCCAGACCCAATCTCTCTCTCTCTCTCTCTCAAACTTGATTTGAAAGACATTAGTGAATCTATCTAATGGAAGTGTGAGTCCTGAAGACACAGAAAAATGTGGAGGAATAAAATTATGCAATTTTTTTGTTATCTATGATCTTGCTTTTTGTAGTTTCTTGTTGTAAACTATTTACTTATCTTACATATTTTTAAACAATTATTATTTTGGCTTCTCCTGCCATAGAAGTCCCCAGGCCTGGCTTGCTTCAGTTTAGCTTGTTTGGTTCACATAGGGAGAGATGCATTTTTTAAAAAAAATGTTTCAGGCTCTTAAATTTACTAAAAGTCTGTGTGTGTTAACTAAGTACAACGTAAACTTTCAGAATCTGTGAGAAGTAAAGGTCATTTAGTAATGAAACTAAAATACAGGCCTATTTACAAAGAAAAACCAAATATATACAACATAAACAAGAACTTGTTCATCTAAAATAAAATAAACTGGAACTCACAGAAAAATTGTAGAGGTTGAATTGCTTATGTGATGTGAAGCTGCCATGTCTCAACCTCACAAAACTAAAAACAGTACATAGATTGTTTTCAAGTTGAAGATACACACACAGAGAGACAGCGGTGCCTCGCCTAGATACGTTAATCTGTGCAGGAAAAAACATTGGTAAGCGATTTCATCGCTAAACGGAATTAAAAAGCCCATAGAAATGCATTAAAACGCCATTAATGCGTTTCTATGGGCTTCGAAACTAACCTTAAAGCGAAGATCCTCCATAGGGGTAGCCATTTTCGGTGCCTCTAAAGCGAGGACACACAACGGGCGGCCATTTTACCTGGCGGCCATTTTGAAACCGCCGATCAGCTGGCCGAAAATGGGGGCTTTGTGATGATCACTTCTCTGCGATCATCGCAAAGCGAATTTTCCCCATAGGGACCACTGCTAAGCAATCGCTTTTGCGATCGCTTAAACTCCTTCGCTAAGCGATTTCATTGCTCAACGGAGGATCGTTAAGCGAGGCACCACTGTGTGTGTGTATGTGTGTGTGTGTGTGTGTGTGTGTGTGTGTAATGTCACTGATTTCCAACAGCTGCTTTGACAGTCTGCTTTCTAGGGAAAGAACCATGGGATTCTGTTGGAATATCATTAAAACTAGTCCTAAGTCAGGTTTTGGTACTGTACACTAGTACATACATTAGCACAATGTCATAATACTTAGTACAGTATCATAATGATGGAGTACTAGCTTTCTAGACATGCGTGGTATGGTAGCACACTTATTTTACAGATGGATACATGCTTATATGGCATTATTTTATATACCCATTCAGTGACAAAATATCTTAATGCCACAATTTAAAAAACAGATGTGTATTACATTACTCCTTTTGATTAATAAGAAACACACACTGCTATTAGGTACATGTATCAAACTGGAAACCTATTTCTTCCTAAGCCTGTTGGATTATTTGGGGAAGCTGTAAATATCAAATTTGATTTGGAGCTATCTCTGGATTTATTTATTTATTTTAGAAAGCTTATATACCACCCAACTTAGTGGGGACAATACTCAGGGCACTTTACATAACCTGGAACAGACTTCTAATGCACATCCTGTTATAATTTTACTGGGCTTTGGATTCACACCCAGATTCTATTGCCCTTCCTCATATACACTTCATGAGCAACTCCATTAAAACCAAGCCTCTGAATAACTTTGATTAATTATCATTGGCCTGTAATTTATTTGAATGCAATAGATTTTGAAGATCAGTCTTTTAGCGTGCAAAACTATCTTGGGTGTTTCATGCTCCATCTACTGCTGGACTCATGAAATGTAAAGGCTGATGGGCTTTGTGATCACAAGTAATTAGAATAGCAAATAGTCCCTTAGAGATAGAAGTTAAAGAAGTCAGCCACACAAAGCAGTGCTCCTGATGGGTGACTAGTAGAAGAGGCAGAATAAGACGACTGCCCTGCCCCCAGGAGGACTGTGTTTATTAACCTTACAAGCTCACAGATAGTTGACAGAGTTCAGATAGGACAATGGTTACGTAATGCCATTATGATTGGCTCAAAGAAAGACAATTAAGCAAGCTCTCTATCACCTATGAAAAAGAAGAATGGGTAGCAGCTCCTCCCAGAAGCAGCTGTGATGTCATCCAGGAGAGTTTGCCCTACTACTGTAGATTCAGCCAATAGCTTAGCAACTTTGGAGAGGGGCATTCCCCCACAATCTACGACCCAGAAGTATTCATGTGACAATAGTGCTAAAATGAGAGATGGCATATACGGAAAATTCAGGGGAAAATGAAATAAAATGAAACCGCAGTTTATTGGATAAACAGGTAAATGGTTGAAGCAACCAAAATAAAGGCAAGTTGAGAGAGAGGAGGAACTGCAAGAAAAGGTGCAGTGTGTGTGTGTGTGTGTGTGTGTGTGAGAGAGAGAGAGAGGGAGGGAGGGAGGGAGGGAGGGAGGGAGGAGGCAGAGAAACCTTAGGGAGGTTGCCACCTCTTTCATGAGCTATATATGGAAGTAAAACTTAGGGGAAAAATCACACTGCAGTCATGCATAACATTTCTAAGTAAACCCCCTTTTTGCTGTACAGACTTCTTGGGAAAAGGTACTTAAAACAAAGAAGAGACAGTGGGGAAATGTCAACAAGCTTCCAGTTGCCTTTCCTCTTTCTAGTGTCCTGGATCTATGTTTTCTTCACACCCCCAGCCTTGGAAACCTAGGAAAGGAACTTCAGAGGGGGAAAATATTGAAGAAGAATTTGGCACTCTCTGCTTCTCTACTGAAAAGCATCTCCAGACAAGAGAGCCATGAAGCTGCACTACCATGCAGTGGGCCTCTGGATCCCTCCATATAAAGGTGCTATCTGGGGCATAATTGAAGGCAGACTACTGAGGGAGCTCCCCATTTTTATCTGGGATAATCCTCTAAAACCAAAATGATATAGATGTGCCCTTAGTGCACCCCCCCCACAAATAGACTATTAGATATTTACACAATAAATGCAGAGTGTAGCAATAACTATACAAGAAATTCATAGTACTGCAAGCTGTGCAATACTAGACAAATTAGGAATGTAATTAATATTTGTACTTCTTTGTTTACTGGCTAATCTGTTCCTTAATGGATCCTCTAATTGTTTCTTGTAATGACTTTACTTGGAATGAATAAACAATATACAGAGTCCATATAATAACACAGTTACAGTACATTTCCTCCCTTTTGTAATGTGTATAGTCTACTCAGGTCAATGTTCCTCCAAACAGAAATATCTAGTTGATTTCTGAAATGAAAGAAGTACAGTAAAATCTGTGGCATTTCTAGGTAAAGTTCAAGAATGATGAGCATTCTCAACAACACTGACAGGTGTATCACAGATTAGTTTGTATCACAGATTAGTTCTTTGTATCACAGATTAGTTTGATTATGAATATACTCACACTGTACTGGATATATGTTTGATCTTTGCCAAGAAATGCTACATTGTACCTATTGTGTGTCAAAGCTTTCAAGATTTCAAATTAATCCCCTTGCCCCATACCACATAATAATCAACTAAGGCTAACAATTAACGGATCTGACAAAGTGTACACTAGTCCACAAGAGTTTATTATACCATACTTCATTAAGGATGCAATCCAGAATTGTGAAGAATCTACACAAACTGTGTACTAGTTACCTGGGAGTAAGCTCTACTGATCATATTGGGAGTTACTTCTGAGTAAATATACATTTACTTGGACAGGTAATCTCTAATGTATTAGAAGACAAAGGTGTTTTTTTTAACTATATCTAAGCTACTGTTCACTTTATTTTTTTCTGAAGAGAATTCCACTTACCTTGCAATGAGTTGAAAACACAAAAGAGATACACAAAAGGAAGATACATCGGTCCCCAAGCAAAGAAGGCAAAGCCCCATGTCATGCCTAGTAGGAAGGTCAAGCTAATAACACTACGAAGATTCCTCAATATCTCTTCCCGCACAGTCCGATTGCTCCTTTTCCCATTTCTCCCACATATCTGCATCATCACCACCACAAACATGGCTATGTTCATGAAGAACATGATTCCAAAGTATCCAACACAGGTCACATAAAATACAACATTGTCCATAATCCAGCAGCTGTAAAGAAAGCACACTGTCAGTTATTCCTGTGTTAACAGATTTTTAAATTGCTGCAGGTTGATTAACACATTTCTGTTGTAATATTGCCACCACTTCCTCAGTGTCAGGTTCTAAAGCGATGCTGGCTTGTCAACTGTTCCATGTTTTTTCATATGTATGCACATATCCCTGCTGCTGTAGCGTACACCTTAATTAGCAGCAATTTACCACAACAATTTATGCTGTTGTACTTATGCCTACATAAGTAACAGGAGTCTATCCACTATCCACATGGAATATGATCAGATGAGCATTTAGCCCATCGTTTGTTTGCTGGGGGAAGGATTGGTTTGCTCATTTTCCTAGCAATTACACAACGTGATTACTGGAGTAAATCAACCCATCCAGAGCTTTACTACCCATACCATTCTGGGCCCCTGCCAGAGGCTTCTTCTTCCTTTTGTGTGTGTATGTGCATTTACTCCATTTTGGTTCATTTCCAGTGCATGCAATTACTGGAAATGAATCAAAGTGAGCCTTGCAGCTTTCAAATTGCCTGCAGTTAGGAATTTCCTGTACTGTGAAATAGCTTAAGAAGAGAGCTGCTTCAGAATATTAGGTAATTAAACTCTTCCTCTGGAATTCTGTGGAGGGGCAAAGGAAGTTTTTAAAAAATAGACTATATTAGGACTGCACAGATATGCTGCCTCACTTATGAAACAAAATTTTAGAAAACTTCCTCCTGTAAGTAGGAGAAGACAGGATGGGGCAACAAGAGGGTTTTTTTTCCTTTTCTTTTTGTGATCTGTCTTAAAGGTCCAGTTAAGAACTTGTCCACAGCTGAATCCACTGCAGATTTGGCTGCAGGCAGATTCTTGACTAGGCATGTAAGACAAGTTAATTTTCTAGGAATACCGCTGCTTTTGAGGCAGTAGAGAAAACTACTATCATAACAATATGAAGGTATGATTAATACTGTGCCCTTGTCCAAACAGAGGGAAAAAGTTTGTCAAAACAGGGTTTCACATCTGTCCCTCTAAAGCAATGGATCCTTGAGTCTCTGGATATTCTTGGACTACAACTCCCAGAAAACCTGGCCAGCACAGCTAGTAGTGAAGGCTTCTAGGAGTTTAGTTTCAGGAACATCTGGGGACCCAAGATTGGGAACCACTTATCTTCTGGGTCAATAAACTGTGTGAGCACATGGAATTTCAGCATGTGATTCTCCTTGATTCAGCATCTGGAGCTGATTTGGGTTAGCATTTAAAATTATACTTGAATCTCATTAATTGGCTGTTTGTTAGGGGAAGGCTTCTTTCTGCTTTCCCTGTTTTTCTTCATTATTACTAGTAACAATCAGAATTAAACATTTTTAAAGAGTGTTCCATGCTGCATATATGCTGCTGGACTGAAGATATTATCTTCTTTATATCACTTTCCAAAATAGTTAAGTCCTGAGCATATTCACTCAGACAAGAAAACAGGGAAGTAGGAAGCGTAACCTTCTATTAAAGTTCCTGCTTACAGTCCCTGCGTTGTAGCCACTTGATATAAAATACTCACAATTCATCACCACCTTGCCTCTTAATATTTTCACCATATGGAACTTTATTGTAAATATGATTTGCATTTCTGTTTGTGCTTGCGAGAACAATGATGATCACCACCGCTGGTAAACCTGTAATAAAAGAAAACTTAACAATATGGAATTTTAGAAGACAAGAACTGCCATGCTAGGTCAGAGTAGTAGTTTGTAGTAGTAGTACAGTAAGGCTGTGGAGGATTGGTTCCAAGCCTCCTTGTGGATGTCGAAAAGTGCAAGTATAGAAAACACTATATGTATAGTGCTCTCTCTCTCTTTCTATAGAGCATAGTCCTAGTGGTCAGTTCTGGTAATATAGCCTAGAAACGTATATTTCATATATATATATATTACTGACCACTAGGTATATTACCAGGACTGACCACAAAGACTATGTTCTCTCTCTCTGTTTCAACAGACAGACAGACAGACAGACAGACAGACAGACAGACAGACAGACAGACAGATAGATAGATAGATAGATAGATAGATAGATAGATAGATAGATAGATAGATAGATAGATAGATAGATATCCCTGAGAGAGAGAGTGTAGTCCTAGTAGTCAGTTCTGGTAATATAGCTTAGAAACACATATTTCTGGTTTCTAAAAAGGATTTAATATTTTCAGGGAGCAGATACAGTGGACCCTTGACTTAAGGATAGCTCCACTTACAGACTTTTAGAGTTACAGACTTCTCTGGCTGCAAAATTTAGGTTCGACTTGCAGCCGGAGAATCGACCTACAGACCGGAAAAAAACCCAAAATGGAACCAAAACGGCCGGTTACGTATTAATCTGTTTTCAATGCATTGTAGGTCAATGGAGCCTCAACCTACAGTCTATTTGACCTGCAGCCACCGTTCTAATATGATTAATTCTGTAAGCCGAGGGTCCACTGTATGTTAAACGGTGGGTACTGATCCCTCAGATAACAGGTCCTACTGTAGTATCAAAAATTATGCAACTATAGCTAAAAAACTCATTTATCCGCATTTCAGTACTTTTAAAATCTCTCTCTCTCTCTCTCTTTGTGCCATCTCTGACTTACCATTGCAGAAGCTGGAAACTGGCATGTTGAATAAATGGAATAAACTATATTGTGCAAGGCAATACTGTGTATCTCTTCATGCAAACATGAAGTACACCTGCAATGCTATATTCTCAATATGTGCAATGCTAACTCCAGGTAATAACTACTACACATCATTCATTGCACACTGACAAAAGCATACTGAAAGTATACAGCTGGAAAAGATAGCAATCAGCTATATGTAAAATTTTATATAATACCCAACTGACTATGCAGAGAACATGATTTTATATGTGGGTGGCCCATTTCGGAGCAAACTAAAATACACCAGACCACCTAAGTTCTGATTAAAAGGAATGATTAGACTTCAGGGCATGGTAACTACTATATATGTTACAAAAATTACACTCCAGCCCACCTAGAGCCTAAGGTATGTAGACACAACCGCTTTATTGAAATACTATTATTCTAATCCAGAATATTTATTGCTTGATCTTTTTCCAAAACATCTAATAAAAAGTGCAAATTACACTTATGTGAAATTTGCTTTCAAATTAAATGGCTGCTGATCCATTTAGTTTATGGCTTTGTGTTGCTTGCCATTATTCTTGCACACAAACCCTCAAAGCTCATTCCAGAAGCCCAAAGTTTCAGATGCATAAAGAAAGAAAATAGATGGCTTGTTTAGGAAATGATTTCTCTGAATCACCCTTCAGAACATGGTGTTTTTTAAAAAAATCAGTTCCACCTTGCAGCTACAGTATGGTTTATACTATAGTATCATCATGTAAGGAAAATTCCACCAAGTGACTCCTGTTACTACAGTATGATCTGCATATTGTTCAACCAGAGTAGCCACTTATGTACTTTCACAACATCTGCCTCTTAATTAATTATTCTTATCAGCCTTGAGTAAATGGAAGCTAATCTGGATGGATCCAGAAAGCAGGAATGCATGAGGTTTTAACTTTCTAGTGTATAATGCTAACACATATTAACAGTGAGGCAAATTCTCTCTATCTTACATCCTTCTACTGCTTTTTGTGAGACTATGAAAGAACCCTCTGGAATGAATTTTTTTTAAAAAAAAGATCATTAAAAAGATTGTAAGAGGTGCCCTGTTCTGTTCCAAAGAGCCTAAGAAGGTAATTCTCTGTTTTTTTAAACTGTACATTGTAAATTGTACATCAGAAATATAAATCTTTCCTTGCTCTTCCCCCCTCACACTTAAAGACTATAACATTTCAAAAGTTCTCACAAAATGCAAACTTCTTGTGCAAATACAAGTTTTTTGTGTAACAGTTGTTTTCTTGTTAATGTTGCTACTGATAACAAAGTAACTCATATTTCACTTTCATGATGATGTGAAGACTCTTGAAGAAGCTGACAATTTTTTTGATGAGGTGTCTTTAGGTATTGAGACACACTTCTACACTGAGGCTGAGAAAGTTTTCAAGTGTTCATTAACTTCATACTATATGCATAGCCAAACAAAGAAAAAGTGGGATAGGATAAAATATAGGTATTTATACACGCAGAGGAAACAGACAAACCATAAAGATTAAATACAAAGGGCAAGTACCCTGTGATGATTTATGCTTGCATAAGGGAAATCACATGGGCTGTGGTGGCAATTTGTTGTTTGTTAATGGGGTGCTGCTTGAATTCTTGGCTGTGAGTCTTATTACATCACCAGGTGTATCCCCAGGAGTGCAAAGAGCCACTTATTTTGCCATCATGACTTGCACGTTTTCCTACACACAAATATGCATTCTCAGAAGGATTCTGGCCAATATAAACCTACACTTACTATTAGCAACCATGTCTTGAATAGGAACAATGAACAGTTGTGAAACATGAGATAGGCAGAGTATCAATTTTCAAATGCAGCTTTCAGACCTATTACTTACCCCAGCCAATGATGCAAAATTTTAGTATGTATCGGCGAATGTATGTGTTGAACACTTTTACCAGAGCTATATACATGTGAACAGCTTCCAAACCCATCCATGTAAAAGTTGCTAGAAGGAAATAATGCAGAACTGCAGCAATTGTGATACACAGGCCTTCTATGTCAAATGATGCAATCCAGCCATCGAGGAGGAAGGCCAAATTTAGGCAAAGCAAGGCAGTACTCAAATTCATTAGGATTTTAGACGGATAATCTCTTCGCAATTTTCTGGCAATAAATAGATAACAAATAATGTTACAGTTTACAAAATGTGATTAACAATGTAGAAAGATTAACTATTGACATTCTTTGGACTTTAGAACTGCTTTGACCACAACTGATAGGTGCACTTATCACTACTAAAAAAGGGATTATATTGATAACAAGGAGCAATTCTAAGAAATACCATCTGTACCACTCATACTCCCCAGGCTTTGATGCTGTTCGTGGCCACCCCAAGAGAGGCCAAAAGATCTTTGACTAGGAGCAGGACCTTTTTGGTGGTGGTCCCCTCTCTTGAAATGCTCTATCTTTGGAGGTGTGCCAGGCACTTACCCTCCTGAAATTCAAAAAGCACATAAAAACCTTGCTGTTTAGAGAAGCATTTCAGGGCATCCTTCCTTCATAATAGCTATTTTTTTTATTTATTTATTTATTTATTTATTTAT